AAATAACTTGCCCTGTTGGAAACCAGTGTTTGGATTTGGATTTAAATGATATTTTTGGAGTGAAAATTATCACTAAGGTAATCTCTGACTCCAGCCAAAATAGTATTTTATTGTATTAACGGGTACTGTATTGATTTGCCAAAGTTTTGTGACTTAGTAAAGGCGTTCCCTTCTTGAATTTGTACTTGGTGATTTGCATGCTGTACTGTGGGCTGGTTATTTTAACCGAGAAAATAAGTCATTACCTGAGTGTGGCATCACTCTTCAACAGAAAAAAAAAAAAGAATATGCATGTGTATATGTGTGCATATATACACATGCATATGAAAGAAGATCCTCATATAGGGGTCTTTGTCCATAGACAGGACCTGGTGATTGCTGCAAAGAGGATTCTTCAGACTACCTTTGTAGTCTGGCTGCCATCTCTAACTGACTACTTTCCCCAAAGCCTCACCATCCGCAAGCTGACTTTGCCAGAATGACCATCTGTGTCCCTTTGGCCCCTTGAAGAGCGGATGCTACAACAGAAGCAGATGTAGGACCAGATATTTTGGTGGGGCTACTCCAATTTATCTAGCACACTCCAGGTGCCAAAAGAGACAGGAGTTAAGAGGATGAGAGGTGCCAAAGAATAAGCCCTGGCAACAGAGGGTTAGTGTTTGGGTCAGATACATCTGCTACTTCCTCCTACTCAGTAATTAAGCAGACTACATCAGTGAACTAAACATATGCACTCATCATAAATCAGGGACCACCATCTATTTTGCCTAAAGTGGCTCACAGAAAAAGGTGAGATAAAAGTACCTGTCATGAGGCCTTATGTTAAGTTACTGGAATCTCCATCAATGTTGCCCAACAAACACCTGGATATTTCTCTATTAATCTTCTTTGGCACTGGTACATTTTATACATATGAATATCCTCCCAGTGTGCCCCTTCCCACTCTCCCTACCCCTCATCCTCTCTGGGCATCACCCACAGCAGCTATATTGGTGTCATGTAACCTTTCTCCATTCTCAGATACAGATGATTGAAAGGAAGTCTCCTCCCGCCCCCAGTGCCCAATGCACAATGACAAGCCAATGAAATCTAAGCTTCCCGTAATCTGACCTTAGGTGAAGGGATCTGGTCTGCCTCTGTGGCACATTTGGATGGAGCCAGGGCATGGAGCATCTTGAGCATGCTGGTGTATAGGAAATAATTTGAAAAGATGACATAAAGAAATGTAATTGAAAGAACATGAGAGTATGTGGTGTCCAGAAGGCAGGTGGTGACTTTGCAGCAATGACCTTAAACCTTGGCTTTTCCTTTCTGTGTTTATCCCTAACAAAACTGCCTATAATGCCTCATAAATTTGCATACTTGCTTCCAGAAGAGCAGAGGAGGGCATCAGATCCCCCCTGAAACTGGGGTTACAGATGGTTGTGAGCATCATGTGGGCTCTGGGAACTGAACTCTGCAAGAGGAGCAAGTAGTCTTAACCACTGAGTCATATCCCCACCCCACACTGAGTTTCTTGAGATAATTGCTATGACCCTCCAAGACTGTCTCCCTTTCATTCATGGAATTATGGGTGAGTTGTTCCTTTCTACTTAGTGGTACTCAAATAAATATGCTCATCTGTTTCTGGCACATTGGGATTTCTAGATCTTTCCTAGTACCCTCTTCCACTTTTAATAAAGATATGTCAGTTCTGGCATCCCCTGATCTGGTACCATCCTATTTACAGTATTAATGAAAAGGAGGCTCTAAGAAAACCTAAAACATCAGAAATTCTAACATCACTAAACAAGGAAGATGGCCATAAAATTTTATTATATATTTAATGATCTCAATTTTAAAATAGCCTCAAAATGAGCCATCTTTGTTTCCCCCGGAAGATGCAAATATCTGTACTTTTTGCATCTTATATATTGCATTTTAAAAAATCATTATACATGCAAATGCTAGGGGGACATATGACAAGCATGTATAGCCAAGAGAAACAGCTGGTGTCTCCCTGTTCTTTAATATTTAAATAACATTGGTTCGAAAGTGTGTGCTGTTCCTGTTCTGAAGCTCAACATCTCCTTTAGTTTTGTGCCTCTAAGGGTGCTTCTGCCTTTAGTCACCAGAATTCTGCCCTTCCCCTCTGCTGATGCCTCCTGTCCCTCTGGGCTTTACACATCTCTACCCTAGAACCAGTACCTGTCTCCTGATGTCTCTTAGATGCAACTGCTGTGGGCCTTTTGCTTGAATGGCTCCTTTTCTTTGAACAAGCATGACAGCTTTTCTCAAGAATCAACCTAAAACCAAACCACAGAAGGCCTCGCATCTCCCAGTAGCCAGGACAGCCCCCTTCCCTGCCCCAGAATCTCTCACTGAGGGAAATATCTCCAGGGTTCCTTTCTGTTCCCTTTACCCACCTACCATGTCAGGTTCAGCTCAGCCCTGCCTCCCTTCCTTCCCCATTCCCACTTCTCTTAATTCCACCACATAGTCATTTCACATTGGTTCACACCCCCCAACACACTAAGACTGGATGCCCAGGACCTCCAATCATGTTCAGAAAGGACTATGGAGGCTGATTTCCTAGCAATCACAATTCTTGTCCTCGAAGGAATTATATTCCCAGCATCCAAAATAGTGTTATACCCTTCCCTTCTTGTGGTGAACTAGGAAATAAGGCCATCTTCAGGAGCTTGGGGACCTTCTTCAGTCTTTAATCTTCTTTGTAGCTCTTTCCCTGACACCTGTCTCCTGAGTGTGTATGAGTCTAGCTGCTCAGATTCTCCACACTCCCCACAACAGAAAGCCAGCCCTAGATTGCCCCCTTCTCACAGACCTCTCCCTCTGCCTGGAGTACCTGACCTTTTCAACTGTCAAAATCCTCCTTATCCTTCTAAACACAACTCAAATGCCACATACTCTGAGACTTCTCCATAATTCCCTGTACCAAGAAGGAATTAGAGGCTTCCTTAGACCTTTGTTTTCACAGCGTGAGAGTTTCCCCGTGTGTCACATGTAACTGTCCCTTTCCCAAGTCAAACTTTCCTCTCAGAGCTCTGGGCTTTTACAACCTGCCAAATAGTCACTGCTCTGAGTGATTTACATGAAAGTACAAATGGAGAGTAGCTGGCATTTATTTGGTGCCTCTGTGTGTCAGGTGTACTTTTAGCGGCCTATATGTACCAATTGGTTAATTATCTATCTGTAATTCCTACCTACAACACTATGAGAGAGGAAACAGTTTGGGTGTTTCATTGTGTGTGTGTCCATCCTAAGATGCATCAATATTAAAACGAAAATTATCTGCGATCACTCAGGTAGGCTGCTATGGAGCTGAACTGAACCTATTCAGGCACCTAATCATTATAGGGATGTAATAGTTCATTTTAGTTATCAGACTAGATTGGATTAAGACACCTGGGAGATGAGTAAAGCCCAATGGTGAGTGTGTTAGGGATAGTGTTTCCAGACATGATTAGACCATGAAGACTCTGAGCTAATGAATGGGTTAAACTCTTGATAGAGTCATAATATGATGGCATGATTGAGAGACAAGGAAAACTAGAGGGTGGGCCTAGCTAGAGGAAATATGTCACTTGTGGCACATCCTTGGAAGCTCTATCTTGCCCTAGCCATGTCTTGTGTCTTTTTTCTCTATTTCTCAGTCACTATGATGTGAGCCACTTAATAAGAAAAATATATCTTAAATTTTCAGAGCCCTATACAAGATAGCTTTCATTAATCTTACCACTGTGAAATGTGATTTGAAAGTGAGAAACATATTCATGTTACATGCGTGAGTACATATCTGTACACACATGTGCACATACACACACACACACACACACACACACACACACACACACACACACACTGTTCTAATCACAGCAAGCTTGGTAAATGCTTTAAGCCCTACAGACCAATGCTTCTTGGAGGCCACTGGTTGTCATAGAAACTTGGGCTTTACTCTGGCTGTCCAGACAAGAGGCCCTAGTATTTTGGCTGCAACTAAGAAACAGAAGAAAAGACCCTGAATCATGGTTTTGGACCTCTGCCTCTTAGACTGACTGTTTTGGGTGAGAGCTGCTAACCATTTTGCCAAACACTTCAATGACATTTGAATTATGGCCTGTTTGCCAACAGAAGGATGAGATTCTTTGCTAAAATCAAGCTTTATAAAGTCATCATACAAAGACATCAGCTAATATTGACTTAAGAACAATGTGAAGAATGAATAAGGAAATTTCTTTGAGCCCATGGAAACAAACAATTATTACCCCTGTTTGTTGTTGGAATCAGCTACAGTAGCTTGCACTAACTTCCTTTCATGAACGCCTGGGATGAGAAGCTTGAGAGCATGTACAAGAGCACACACAAGAAAGTACTAATCAGCATATAATTGAGATATTTTTGAGCATTTACTAAATAGTATAAATAAAACTGATACCTGACTGTATCAGTTAGCTATTGCTGCATAACAAACCAGACTGTAATTTGTAACTTAATAGCCATGCATTATTTTTCACAAGTCTACAGAATGACTAGGTGTCATGCTGATTTGGAACAGTTTGCTTATGCATCTGTGGAAAATAGACCAGTCAAGTTGGTCTACAATGACTTCACCTAGAATTATTCTGTTTTGTGCCATGTTACTTTTCATTTTCGAGCAGATTAACTCAGGCTTGTTCTCTATGAAACAATAGGAGCTCAAGAGGAAATGTTGAGGGTAAAGGGGGTCTTAAGCTCAAAACTAATACATTGTCATATTTGTCACTTTATTTTTGAGAAAACATCCATTTGGGCTAACCTAGATCTCAAGAGTGGGGAGTAGATGATCAGCACCTGATCAGCCACCATCAAAGGGCAATCAATTCATGGCAGTGCCCATCAATAATTTGGTGAGAGTTTAACACTTAAGACTCAGTATCACCCAGTTATTTTTATACCTACTTTAACGATGGAGGAACTGATAATTGGAGGAGTAACTTGATCATGATCACAAATCTGGAATGTAGGAAGCCAGGGTTTGAAACATGTGTCACATAGCTACATAACTATCTTTTCCACTTCATTAAGTGAACCTGCCATTTCTACATGCTATTGAATGTTGATCCAAAGACGCAGGTATGCCTGGCTTTGAGTATCCATGAGGAATGTGACAGTGGAAAGAGAAGTAACTTAAGATGGGCATCCTTGGGTCCAAATAACTGCACATGTTTCACCTTACCTGAGAAATGAAGAGAGCAATCCTGCCTTGTCAAGACTGTGTGAAGAATAAATATGTTCTGGATTCTTAGTTTCAGATGTGACATCAGTCACTGACTGTCAGATCTCAGAGCTCTCTGGGTTTTTTTTTTTTTTATTTTTGGCTTAGTTTTCTCATCTGTAGAATGGGAATACTAAAGCTGCTCATTTCATAGGGTTGCTACAAGAACTAATAAGTTAACTGCATATCCCTTACCACACTTCCTGCTACATACATGACATATAATGATCAACCTGAGAATGTCCATATGTATCTACATTGTACATTGAATTACAAGAAGTCAAACAAGGCCAATGGACTAAACTCTCTAGAGAATCTGTCCCAAGCAAGTATTTGTTCAGCTGTTATAGATTGCCCAGGGTCCAGGCATAACGCTTTATCTGGCATGGGATATGAGGGGGAAAAAAATCTACATACACTATGCTCTTATGTCTGTTAACTTTATTCCTCTAAGACAAAATTCAGCTCCATCAGGCATTCAGGGCAAGAACAAATCTTGATACATCAAGCTCTTTGTCCATCTACTTTATTTCTCTGGCATGAAATCCTGTCTACACAGCTTCAGTTCTGTCCTAACACTCAGTTCCTTTTAGTCCTGCTAACAATTAAGCTCTTATGCTTTCAACCTCATCTTCATCCTCTGTTTCTTCGCCCTCCATCTCCACTTGCTCTCTGCTCCTGGTTCTGATGAACTCTACAAATCTTCTGCCTTACCATCTAGAAACCTCTGGGTTCTTTCCTTCTCCCTGGCCATGCCATTCTGTCTGTCTCTAAAGAAAACACCTGTTCCTTCTTTCCCTGGCCACGTGGTTCTCTGCCTCCTCAGGAATGT